TGCAGCACGATCGGCCCCTCAGCGCCATCGTGTCCAGTTCACGGTCGGCTCGTCCATCCCTTCTTGGATGACGACCACCGTCTTATGCAGCATGATCGGCCCCTCAGCGCCATCGTGTCCTGATCACGGTCGGCTCGTCCATTCCTTCTTGGATGACGACCACCGTCTTATGCAGCACGATCGGCCCCTCAGCGCCATCGTGTTCAGTTCACGGCCGGCTCGTACATTCCTTCCAGGATGGCGACCACCATCTTATGCAGCACGATCGGTCCCTCAGCGTCATCGTGTCCAGTTCACGGTCAGCTCGTCCATTCCTTCCAGGATGGCGACCACCGTCTTATGCAGCACGATCGACCCCTCAACGCCATCGTGTCATGTTCATGTTTGGGATCACTTCTCCGTTCTAGGATGGGACCCGTCACGGTATGTCACACCCGATGCACTCTCCTTCATACATTGCATTCATACATTACATGCATTCACACATGCATGCATCACATCTCGTATTTTCATACATACACACTTGCATTGTGTTCTTCTTATCCATATTTTTCGAGGCAACTTGGTTCGGGCCTCTTAAGGTCCCCGGGTAGCAAACCCAGGTTGTAGTCCTTTACTCCCGCCTGATACATTCAGGGGGAGAGGATCTAGGGAAGAGCGTCCCTTTCCCGATCCAGTCGGGAGGGGCAGGCACCCACTCATATATTATGATTATTCGAAGACACAGTTCCAGCAAGATAGAGGAAGAGCGCAGGCAAGAGTATATTTTCTCGAGCAGATTCGCACGCTCACTACTCAAGAAACTGGGGGACTTGTGTTGGGATATATTATCCCGGCCTAACACTGTTCAGGAACTCAAGACTTCACATAGTATTGAGCCTGTTCAGTAGGGGAGAGCAAACCCGACCCTACCCGATTGACCCGATCAGATATATATGATTTTTTTGTTGGGGTTGGAAAACCCGACCCGAAATACCCAAACCCGATCCGATTTTTGCAACCCGAGACTTAAGCGGGTAGCGGGTAGCGGGTAGGGTTACCAATTATGCTACCCGACCCGCCCGAAAAACCGAACTAGCATAGTATATATACTACTTTAAATTATTATGCATGTTCAAATATCTCAATTATTAAATGTCAATTACCATATTATGCATGTTCAAATATTCCAATTATCGTATTAGTACAACTATAACTTTGAATGTTGTATTGTTATGACTTTGAATGATATTTTGACCAATTATCATTTTATTTATCACAATATCAATTATGTCAATCACCGTATATTATTAGTTTACATGTTCAAATATGTCGATTATCGTATTTATACATCTATTACTTTGATAGATATACTAGTATAACTTTGAATGATATTTTTACCAATTACCATTTTATTTATCACAATTTCAACAATAATAAATTAAAATCCGAATGGACCCGAAACCCGAATCAACCCGACCGCAACCCGAATTTCTTCAACCCGAAAAAAACCGATAAATTTTTTGATAGGGTATGGTTTGAAATTATCAATCCGATACCCGAACGGCTTTATCATTTTTGAACCCGACCCGTGCTCTGCCCTGAGGTTCAGTAAGGCCCGTTTCGGTCCATTTTGGCCATCCAGCCCAGCAGGCCCGTATTTGGCCCATTAGGGCGGAGAGCACCCTTCCCCATTCCCCTATAAATAGGAGGAGTTCCCTCCTTACCAGGGGTGGCTATTCTTCTTCCTTCTCTCTAGCTAGCCTACAATACTCCATTAATGGAAGCTCAAACTGTACTATGTAATGGTGAGGAGAGTCCTAATGAGAAATAGAGGGCTTGGACATTAGCCTAAAAAGTCTCGTGGTTTTCCACCTTTTCGGGTTTCCACGTAAAAATCATTGTCTACATTGTATTACCATCCGATAGCCATGAAACCCTCCCGGAAGGGGTGTTGAACTTTCGGGCTGCGGCGAATAAACTCAACATTGGTGTCGTCTGTGGGAATCGAACCCACGACCACCGTCTTATGCAGCACGATCGGCCCCTCAGCGCCATTGCGTCAAGTTCACGGTCAGCTCGTCCATACCTTCTTGGATGGCGAACACCGTCTTATGCAGCACGATCGGCCCCTCAGCGCCATCGTGTCCAGTTCACGGTCGGCTCGTCGATTCCTTCTTGGATGACGACCACCGTCTTATGTAGCACGATCGGCCCCTCAGCGCCATCGTGTCCAGTTCACGGTCGGCTCGTCCATTCCTTCTTGGATGACAACCACCGTCTTATGCAGCACGATCGGCCCCTCAGCGCCATCGTGTCCAGTTCATGGTCGGCTCGTCCATTCCTTCTGGGATGGTGACCACCGTCTTATGCAGCACGATCGGCCCCTCAGCGCCATCGTGTCTAGTTCACGGTCGGCTCGTCCATACCTTCTTGGATGGCGACCACCGTCTTATGCAGCACGATCAGCCCCTTAGCGCCGACGTGTCTAGCTCACGGTTCGGCTCGCCCATCCCTTCCAGGATGGCGATGACCATCTTATGCAACACGATCGGCCCCTCAACGCCGACGTGTCTAGCTCACGGTTCGGCTCGCCCATCCCCTCCAGGCCAGGATGGCGACGACCATCTTATGCAGCATGATCGGCCCCTCAGCGCCAACGTGTCTAGCTCACGGTTCGGCTCGTCCATTCCCTCGAGGATGGCGACGACCGTCTTATGCACCACGAACGGTCCCTCAGTGCCGACGTGTCTAGTTCCGGGTTCGGCTCGCCCATCCCTTCCAGGATGGCGACGACCGTCTTATGCAGCACGATCGGCCCCTTAGCACCGACATGTCTAACTTCACGGTTCGGCTCGCCCATCCCTTCTAGGATGGAGACGACCGTCTTATGCAACACGATTATCCCCTCTGCGCCGACGTGTCTAGTTCACATTCGACGTAAGACCACACCATGGCAACAAACATCTTATGCAGCACGCTCGGCCCCTCAGCACCAGCGTGCCCGATTTACCGATGAGATCCATCGCTTTGTATCACATCTTACATGCCCTCTCTCACACATTGCACCCATACATTACATGCATTCATACAGTCATGCATCATCTCTCATACATCCATACATATATATACATCACATCGAGTCGGTCTCCGTGTTGTCAGCTTATATTGTGCAGGGACCTCTAAGCTTCTCTCCATTGGAAAGCTCGAGTCAGAGTCCTCTGCTCCCACCTGATACATTCAGAGGGAGAGTGTACGGGGAAGAGCATCCCTTGCCCGACCCCGTTGGGAGGGGAGCGCCTTACCGGCAGGGTATATTGAGAGGGGCAGGCACCCACTCATATATTATGATTATTCGAAGACACAGTTTCCAGCAAGACAGAGAAGAGCACAGGCAAGATTATATTTTCTTGAGCAGATTCGCACGCTCACTACTCAAGAAACTGGGGGACTTGTGTTGGGATATATTATCCCGGCCTATTACTGTTCAGGAGTCCTGGACTTTACGTTGTACGGAGCCCAATCATTAAGGCCCATTTTTGCCTATCAGGCCTGTTTCGGCCTTTGGGCCCATTTCTGCCCATTCGGCCCGTTAGGGTGGAGAGCCCCCCTTCCCCCCTTTATCTATAAATAGGAGGAGTTCCCTCCTTATCAAGGATCCCCTTCTCTTCTCCTCTCTCTCTCTCTCTCTAGATAGTTAGCTTCAATACTCCATTAATGGGAGCTTGTACAATGTAATGGTGAGGAGAGTTCTAATGAGAAAGAGAGGACTTGGACATTAGCCTAAAAAGTCCCGTGGTTTTCTCCCTTTCGGGTTTCCACGTAAGAATAGTTGTTCATACACATTTATATACATATTTACTATATCGTGTTGGATTAAACTCAACAGTATTGTATGGACGATTGGACGTGGACTTCTGCACATGTTCATGGACGAATCAAGGAATTTGGGATGCCTTGGGTTCAACAACAATTATACTAGACTTAAACATTATAGGAGTGGGCTACAATGAAAAAATTTACACTAAAGAAGTTGTAAAAATAATTAAGTTGTCTTGGACTTCAGACCACCATAGCCCATACATGGATGATGGATCCTCCCCTGCATATGTTCAACTCTTCATTGAAATAGCACTATATGTTTTTTTACATCGAACAACGCTATATATTTTATTAATTGTCTCGCTTGATGAAATTTCAATTCATTAAGTTATAAAATGATCATTCAAACATAATCTTCAAATGTGATGACTGTGTTTCTATATCTTCTAATTGTAATTTGTAACGACGGTGCTAAATTATTACCATATTGCATATCACTCTCTGTCTCATTCTGGATTTCTGGTTATCTTATTTTCGTTTTTTGGTTATCCCAAAATAAATGTCATATTTCCTTATTTAACAAGAAATATGTGGTTCTTATCATTTAGTTCATTCTACTCAGATATCAACTACAACTTTTACTTTTTAACCACTTCATTAATAATCATGCTAAATTAAAACATGACAACAAATATGGGATGAGGGTAGTACTTTTTAATTTTTATTTACCTCATTTGAAACAAAATAAAAAAAATTACCCAAGTAAAACTTAAATTTACTAAACATGTTAAAATATTTATTTGGGTCAGTCTTGTCTTGTAACATAAATTTTCAGAGAGCATTTGATAGCAGGTCAAATTATTCCTCCGCATTAGAATGTAAAGATGTAAAATGTTTACATGATTGATTTAATTATTTAATGTATATTGTAAGATACTTTTTTTAAAATATTTTGAACAATACGTTCAATACTATGTAAAATACTTTAATGTGAGTGATAAAATAATTTACTATGTTTTTTTATAAAACACAGAAATAATTTTGCATATAATTTAAAAAAAAATACACAGCTAACTAAACAATGTGTTTTTATTTTACATGTAATGTGATTATTGTCCTAAACTTTGCTTGCAAGATTTTTCTGTGCAAACTATCAAACTGAGGCTTAGGTAAACCTTAATCCAAACGGAGCATGTGTCAAAACAATAGATTAACAGCAAAATATTAAACCATACTTTGCTTTGAACTATTAATAGGCAAAATTCATAGCAATGACATTAGATTATGACAATTTTCCCGTCCAGATGACCTGAATCGGAGTAAAGCCAAGATACAATCATGTATACAAAGAAGTTCACTTGATCCCACTTCCTTTCAGGCTACTCTACTCTCCACCACCCATGCAAATTATATACCAATAAAAACGTGTACTATATAGCAGCACGGCCAGCACCCCCTTTCACATTTTGTGGTCGAAAAGCCTCTCCTCTTTAATAGTGAGCCAGTTCATCACTGAGCAGGAGCGCAAGGCATGTCCAATTGAAGATGCGCATTTTCAGGTTGACGCTTCAGCCCTAAAGCCTGCATAAGTACTTTCTTTATATACAAATGTGTGTGTGTGTGTGTGTGAGTGTCTTTGTTTGTGTGTGTGTATAACATGGAATGCTATGGGATAGGTGGAGTATACGGGTTTGTTTGGATCTTAAATGATGACAGGGAAAGGAAATATGGATGATAAATCAGAAGGTCAACTAAAAATTGCTTTGCTTTGAACTCGATAAATAAAGAGAGTATATCTTACTCATATTACTTAAAATTTGTAATATATAAAGACTAAAGAACTAAATGTATATAAACATAGCATGAATGTTGCTGGTTTAGTGGGAAGTATATGAAGTAGAAATTAAAGTTACCTTCCTGAATGGCGAAATTACAGTCCTCAAGCAGTGAAACTTTGAAGATCTAGAACTGCTGAATGTAAAGGGAGACAAAAAGAGAAACGGGTCAAATTCTAACTCATAAATAACAATAAAAATCGCATGGAAGTCGCAAATCAATAACCAAAAACAAAATAACACAAAAAACCAATGAACTGACATGTCTTTATTCCCAGGGTAGCAATTACTTTGCTGGCTGCAAGAGATGCGAGGATCGCTAGCATAGAATGGGGTTTCAGATGTTTTGTCTGATGGGTTTGCCAATGCCCAATTTCTTGACGGCTGACCCAATCGACGTATCATCCGAGAATCATTTGATGAGAATGATCTCTTTAGATGCTTGACACTTCTTGGAAAACAGCCATGATGATCCTTCTCTTGCTGATCTAATGCAAGGATGTCCAAGCCTGTCCAGTCATTATTGATCATGCCTAGGGTCAAAGCATTCCCATCATTGTCTCTTATGGTTCTCACGGTTGCTTTAGGTTGCTCACAAGAAAGTGAAGTTTGAGATATAAGCCGGGAGGGGCACTTTTCTATGACTTTCTTTGAAGCAAAATCGGATATCTCTGACCGGTTGCTTCTCAATTCATGGGAAAATTCTGGTCTGTGGTGTTCCCTACGCGAGCAACCAAACAGGCCAAAGGACAGTTTTTTTGCTAAGGAGCGGTTTTGTGAAAAGTCACCACTCACCAGATTGATTCTTATCTCTACATTGCAGCAGAGAGTCTGCTGAAGCGCGTTGGCTATCGATTTCCATGACTTCTCGGCGGTTGATACATGATCAGGGTGACAAAACTTCAGTTCAGCAATTGCTAAACCTGAATATGTCAGGGTGAACATGAATAGCTCAATAACATAGCATATAGTTAGATAACTAAATCACAAAATATAATAATCATAACACTATGAAGGGAAAAAGAACTAGTGTGTAAAGGAGCTGTTTCCTATCCAACTATCAATCAACAACATTTCCCTTTATGTTGAAGTTATTATAGATAGATAATTTTCGTCCATGCTGCACAGTTAGTCCAGTTTCTTTATTGAACATTTGACTTTCTATTTCCAAGTTTAACCTTACGTGTTCACAACCATCAAATTTTCATACTACTCCCACATAGGAAATTTTTAACATTACATAAGGTTAAAATGGGAATTGCATTTAAAATTACAAAGGGATAGTGAACTATCTTTGTGGGAAAGAGAGTAACTAAATACTCCGTCCAGTTCATATTAAGTGTCACCTTGGAAGAAATTACATAGGTGATAGGTCAAGGATTCATCAAATGAAACAAGAACTATCACTCTATAGTCTTGCTACCATTTAATATTTTGGTTTACTAAAGGAGAGGAGATCCATAAAACATTTCATAAAATAATTAAAGAACCACAGGAAGGGAGTATGATTTGTCACAGGAAAGCGCAATAAAAAATACAAGCACGAAAGTGTTGCAAAAGCCAACCTTGCTTCAAAAAAATGGACGACAAGCTCCCCCGCCTCAGCAAAAAACTCTTTAATGAACTGGATTCACATTTTGCTATAGCTCTACTCCATATAGAACTCAGAGTTTCTTTATCATCCTGCAGCCGAACCTGACACGACCCAGTCTCCTCTTCATGCCCATAATTTGCAAGTAGCTTTAAACTCTCACCCGTAGAAGAGGACGTGCTGCTGCAACAGTTTCCATCTGAAAACACGAAGTGTTGAAAAGTGAGTGACTCATGACATCACCACACTTTATGCTGTAATATTTAATACAGGAAAAACTTAGAAAGCACTAAAACATTAGCTGCCATGTATAGGAAATTGGGTCTATGTTTTGATCCAAAGTATTGCAAAATATATATTTAGTTGCTTTGAGCAACTAAATTAGTAGTTATCATAGACGGGTGAAATTGGACAAGAAATGATTCCTTTAAGTCTAAGAAAATAGTAAAAATTGTTAGGTTTTATTTGTACCATACTCACCTTGCGGGTACACTGTTCTGCTGCACAGCCTTGCCTCACTGGCATCCACTGACGAACCGATGGAGCTAAGCTGTAGGAGGGAAGCAGTGAGCCAGGTAGACTGACTCTTTGACGTCCTCAATTGTTTCTCTGCTTCAGAAAGTATTTTTAAGGCGTGACTAAGTTGCACTGCACCAACTTCAGCTGTGCATGGTGATCAGGGCATGAACAAGAACAAAATCAGTCTCGTACGAAAATGAAACAGATAACAAATAATAATTGAAGTAATATATTCATCTACCTACATATGAGGGGCTAAGCATCACAGTTTTACCAACTTAGACACATCCATGAACAGAAAATAAGGTGTGGATCATATTCAACTAACCACATCCATCTACTTCCTGGCTGAAGCACTAGTTAGGCTCTATTTGTAAGCCACAATGAGCTTATTCTTCTTACCAGCAGAATAATAAGTAGCTTTAAATTTACTTATTTGCCTAAAACCGGATGTTACAAAACACTGTTCCTTTCAGAAAATTCAGCAGTCAAATTATCCTTTTTGAAAGGAGACCTAGTACACATGTAACGGTGATGGTAATTATGGTGAACTAGCTAATTGCAAATATGGTATGGACCATGTCCTACCAGTATGGAAATAATATTTGATTTTCTCCATGCTCTACCAAATGCTATGTTAAATTACTTAATAGTTTCCCAATTATGTACTAGGCTAAGAGACTAATTACTAAAAGTTATTCAGCATCCCTAACAAACTTGGAATTTCAACTCTGGATTTTGAGCACAACGCCACAACCCTAATAATAAATTGTCATGAAAACCACAACAACAACAAGCAACAACATCCAAGCCTTATTCCAATAAGATTTGGGGGTCAGGTAACATGAATCAATCCATGATATCATCATGAAAACCACATTGTCCATAAACTTACAGAAGCGGCCTTCGATGGCTCTCTTTCCAGCAAGAATATCCATTATGAGATTTGCCAATTGTGATATCAGCTGCATGGGATCTATCCGTGATCTCATCAGCTCTCTGGCTGTTTTAACAGTTCTACAAGTATCAGATGACAATGCGAGATGCAATAACTCCATTAATTCATCATCAGAGACCACTCCAGTCTATGCCACCAAACAAAACAAAAAGTTAAGTCACGCAATTTATTTATTTACAAATCGTGGCAAAAAATGTAGAAAAAAGAGAACATACTAGCTCGTAAACTAATGGCGCAGTAATTCTTTTGCCAAGCAAACTCAGCTGTTCAAGCATTATCTCTCCATCACGAAGTGAGCCGTTTGATTTACGTGCAATACACCCCAAAGCATCATGTTCAAACTCAAGCCCTTCTTCTTCACATATTTTCCCTAAGCAGTTAGCAATTTCAACCTCTTTAATCTTAGGGAAATGGTACTTCTGTGACCTTGACACAACAGCACGAGGTAGCTTATCAACATCCGGAGTAATCATTATGAAGACCACCCGATGTTGAACTATCTCATCGAGGCCATTCAAAATAACTCCCCATGTTTCCTCTTCCAATAGTTGACACTCATCAAAGATAAAAATCTTGAACCGGGAGGAGAGTGGGGGTATCGCTCCACTCTTCATCAGCTGTTTGATCCGTTCCGCTTTGTTGATCTTCAAGCAATCGACTTCTTTGACATCTGTGCCCCTTCCCGAAAAGAAGAGAACACATTCTAGGCAATGACCGCACGGTTTCTCCTCATCCTCACCCGGCGAAACACAAAGACAGTTTAGTGTTGCTGCAAAGATTCTAGCAGCACATGTTTTCCCGGTCCCACGTGGACCATGAAAAAGATACAGCGGATTTATCCTTCCATTTGTGATTGTGTTTGAAAGAGAAGTTGCAACGGCACTTTGTCCAACCAACTCACTGAAAGATTTTGGTCTGAATTTCCTCTGGTAGGAGTAATTGGTTGCCTCCAAAGATGAGTGCTCCAATGATGAGAGAAGGGGTTGTTGCTGATGTTGTATATCTCGAATGACATTTGATCCTCTGAGTCTCGGCGTAACCAACCAGCACGAGCTTATGCCACAACCGTTGCTACCTGAATCAAAACCATTAACATCTACCCTGCCTTCATCATCATTCCCAACCCCCCAGTAGGGGGATTCATGTGAAAACAATCTTGAGCTGGGTTTTGTAACACTGTAATCCTCCGGGTCATTGTCATTTTCTTGAAACCCTAAACTATTCCCATTGTTAAAAATTGAATTGTTTTCCCAATTCAGATTGTCGACGAATGCAGAGAGTTTCCCCATTGAATTAGTCGTCGGGTCCCTAAGGGATTTCACTCTTCTAAGTGCAACTAGCGTTCTTGATATGGGAATATCAACAGAGTGACGCCTCCCATCCATCACGTCAAGAAATTGATAACCACTTCGCTTTGCAGTATGCGATATTATTTTCTACCTGGAATTCATTTTTGATGACAGAAAACTCATGTTTTACACACAAAAACAGGATATACATGATGTATTTGAGTGGAAAGTGAAAAGAAAATGCTCCGTATAATAAATGAAATTCACAAGTTAGAAGATTAATCAGATGTAAAAGTAAAAAGAAAAATATTAAAGGACAATGGGGGGCTCATAACCTTAATCTCTACAAAGTACATAGCCGAAAAGCAAAGGACTGTGTAGATGTGGTGGTTACCTCAATGTTTCAAACTCTTCTCTTCTTTACTACCTTCAGGCCGGCCGGCTACAGCAAAGTGAACGCAAATAAAACAATTTGTTTATTTATATATAATAAAAAGAATGAATGCATGCTTATGAATAATAAAAAGATACGGACATGGGGTACTTTTGAAAAGCAAAGCCAAAAAAAGTTGGATAGAGAAGTCAAGGACAGACACATGGAAACACAGAAAATCTGTGAGGTGGATGGGGGGAAGGAAGCGTAATTAGTCTTCGAAGTTCACGAGAAGTTTGAAATGGGAGCGTTGAAAATCAAAGGACAAGAATGGGTCTTTTGGATTTCTTCGGATTTGACGGCTGCTGCTTTGGTAGAAGGCTCAACCGTACTGTAGAGGAGGGGAGTGACATAGTGAGTGACTATACATACAGTAGTACTGTAGAATGGTCACTCATTTAACGCTTGGACTGCTGGCTGGCTGGCTGGCTGGCTATAATAAATTGATTCATATATCAAACCTGCTTCTTCTACGTTGCTATAGTAACACTTGATTCATCCAAAAGTTTATCCGTGCGTCCCATTAAGATTGTCTCATACCAAATTTAGTAAAGTTTATGTGGCTCTAAATCATTCTTACTTTATTTTTACTTTATCAATTCAATGTCAATCACATAAACCATTTTTTATTGATTTGTGTATCACCCCCTCTTGTCCCATTGTTAGCGGGACGGAAGGAGTAATACAGAGTATTTCTAATCGCCATTTTTGTATTTTGTTGTGATATCTATCTATAATAATACGTATAACTGCCTCTGTCTCACTAACATTGCGATAAAAGAAGGTGACACGGTTATTAAGAAAAATGGGTTTATGTGGTTGATATTGAATTGATAAAGTAAGAATGATTAAGAGCCACACAAATTTTAACGGGACGGAAGGAGTATAAACTAACCAAGTTTGTCAACGTGTTATTCTCGTCCAATCACACATTTAATCATCACACTCCTTAAACAATAAGAATTACACGAATCATTATCAATTAATCTATAATATCTACTCCCTATAATATAAAGTAGAGAGAACTACCAAATAAACCCTCAAACTTTCATAAAAGTGCAAATAAGCCCTTTTATAGGAGGTTCTGTTCGGCCATCGCTATTTGGGGCGGTTTTCGGTGAAATTTTTTAATGAAATTTTTTGAACGTCTTTTTCATTAAGTCTAGTTTACTCATACCAAATTTCAGCTAAAACTTCAATCGGGAAGATAGTCAAATGAATTTTTGAAGATAACTTCGCAGTTAGACAGCGCAGTATATTTCAGAAAATCATTTGACTACCTTCTCGATTGAATTTTTAGCTAAAATTTGGTATGGATAAACTAGACTTAATGAAGAAGATGCTCAAAAAAATTCATCAAAAAATTCCACTGGAAATTGCCCCAAATGACGACAGCCACACAAAGCCTCCTGTAAAAGGGCTTATTTGCTCTTTTTATAAAAGTTAGAGAGCTTATTTGATAATTCTCCCTATAAAGTAACAAAGTTTGTCAACATGCCTTTCTTGTCTAATCACACATTTAATGGTCAAACTCATTAAACAATAATAATTACACGAATCATTAGCAATTTATAATAATAAAAATAATGATATAATTGGAATGTTTTCAATTAATAAAAATAATAGTAACATATAATTGACGTGATTTCAATTAAGGCAGATTAGAACATTTACGATATTTTAATTTTGATTTTTTCAGTTTAAGGTTAGACCGTAGCACGCATATTGAAATAAATTGGACCAGACCAGGTCAGACTAAAATAAAATAACCCTTATCACATCATACTAGACAAGTAATATCTACATACATCGATTACCGGACTAGATTTAAATAGATTAGACCATATTTAAACAGGTCATATCAAAAAAATTTAGTCCTCTTAAAAACATCCTTACACAAGCAAATAACAACCACATCTTATATATTTAGATAACAATAATAATAGTAGTAAAAGTAACAATGGTAATGGTAGAATAAGTTTTACAAATTGCCCTATATAGAGCAAAACATGAAAAATGCTCAAATAAGACCTATGTTAATACACCTTAACAAAAATGCCCTATATATTTAAATGCTCAATTGCCCTTCTTTCAACCAAGGTAGTAAACGAATCGAATAGTTTTGATTCGATTTGGGATTCAAATTCGAAAACGTCGATTTGAATTCGAGTAAGTAGAATATAAGGAAGAATACAAATCTGTTTTTTGATTTGAATACTTTTCAAATATGAATACAAATACTATGATATTCGATTCGAACATATTCGAATTACATTGGTATATATATATATATATATATATATTCAGAAAACATATACTATTTGATGGATTATAGGGATCCAAACATATAATTAAATGGAGAGATTGAGCTATTAAAGTGAAGAAGATGAATGAATAGTAGAAATGTGTGTGAATATTGGTTCTAGGAATTAGGAACTAGGGTTACAAGTCTCCCAAAGGGAGTATAAATAGACAAATAATGGGGCAGGCCGCTAATATGGGCCCGATAGGCCCAACTACATAAAAGACTAATCTAGTACATACAAATGATATATGAACTCTACAATAATACAAATGATATAATTGACATCCAATAAGCGTGTGTGGGCCACTGTTCGGGCCCAATATCGTGAGACCCGGGGGTCCGAGTCTATATACTCTATCAGGGGTCCCCCACTCCCTGAGTTGAGAGTACTCGAGGCGAAAGAGAGTAGAACTATGTGCTGATCTGTCGTCTTCTGGGGAGTAAACTTCGTGGAAAATTTTGAATTGCTGCTTCTTTGGTTAACGGAGGTGCCAAGTCCCCCGCTCTTCCAGTCTCCCACTCCTTGAGGTGAATGTAGTGAGGTGAAGAGGAGTAGAGTAATGCATGTCTCGTGATGTCTTCAATAGGGACCAAGGGTCGACACCTTTTGTCCACGTTGGGGAGATGCCTCGTTAAAAACCTCATTGGGAAAAAACCATGTGGGAAAAAATCCTAATGATGGAAAAAGAGTACACCAGATGACCCCAAAATGAAGCAAAAGTGGTGAACCCTTCGCCATGGGCGTGGAACTGCAACCGTCGGCATCTGATAAGGGGATGGCCAAGATCGGTCCTCATATGCGCATAGCTCAGCATGATAGGTAGTCCTAGTCATCAAATAAAGATGACTAAGAGATAGGTCGAGTGACCGTCCATAATATGATGTCTGGGTCATCAAATAAAGTGACCGAGACGTGTGGCCGAGAGGCCTATAAGAAGTCCAAGCCATCAAATAAAGATGACTAGAAGAGACGGCTAAGTGGTCGGTATGATGTCACCATTTAGTTGCACTTATGCATTCAAATAAAATTGTTATAATTTCTTGAGCTTATAATTTGCTATTGGATTTGGGCCTAAATTAAGTTACCTCAAATTTCCAAGCTGCAGCTCAAGCTAAGTTTCTATGCTTAGTTGGAGCGTGGCACGCATAAAGGATTGAACCTACCGCTGAGGGATTGCAGTTCATTTCCGATATCTAGAGGCACACATAACTCATACAAAACATAGAAACTAAAGTATGCATTTGATAACATTTGGATTGGGAGCTTACTATCCACACTCGTTTGACGTGACCCGGTGGTGCAAGATTTTAGCTCTCTTCCGGTGTACGCGAGTGCTCGGAATTCATAAGTCCATTTTTTCAATGTCAAAAAATACATGCTATTTAAAAATAATAATGATAATAAATTAATAATCTAGCTCAACTTGTCACTCAAGTTTGTAGCTGAGATGCACTAGATGTTATTTACAGGTCTTTTCACGGATGACTCTCCCCTCGAGATTGAAGTTTGATGCTATATTATTAAAATATTTCATTTATGATTTTTTTGTTTTGTAATTTTCTTCATCAAATTATGAATTTGACAAATTATATTAAAATTTGAGAAACAACACTAGGCTTTTGAGGTGGGCAGTCTGAAATAAGAGCTTGGACCAGAAGTTGGATTTTCTGTGATGGGCGGCCCACTTGATGGAGTTAGAAGCTGGAGTAATGGGCTCTCCGTAGGTGTTGTTGTGACCTAGGCAATCTCCCAACACCTCCTTAGAGTCATTTACGTTCTCTTTAAGCCACATATCGTAAGGCTCTACTCAAGTAGAAATGTTGACTTGGTCAATTGATTTGCAAGCTTTTTGTCCGATCAAACCAGTCCATGACGCCTGTTCGTCCACTATCTACATAGCTCACCTATACCAGTAGAAGTCACGCCTTTGCAGTCACAGGAAGGACGGAGGTTAGCAACGTCGATGGAGGCTGCAAAAACGACCGCGATGCCGAATTAGATAGCTCGACAAGAAGATATTCGAATTTGCTTCTCACGAACTCCAAGTCACCATCAATGGCGAATCTTAAATCGAAAGGTCCCTCGGGCCATGTCAATGGCGCGATGACGTGCGAGGTAGAGGAACGGTTGGCTACCAACTAGGTGGAGTTATGAGCGTCGACGACGGTGACACAGGAGAAGGTGATGTCGAAGAAGGCGATATGATGATGCGAGCGGCGACAGAGAGTACACCAGAAACCTTCCAACTAGGTCTTTCCACTATGAATTCCGATGACACCTCCTAAGAACAACGCGGCAAATTCCCACTGGTGCGGCGAGCTTCAGCCGATGGCGTACGGCGACGGCATGGACGGCGGCGACCTAGGTGGCTCCGGCTTGGATCTAGTAAATCTCAAATTTGGATTATCCAGATCTCTTTCGTTGCTTTTTCTCCTTTTTTTGTTGCTTATCAGCCTGTTTTTCTTGATTTTGGATGATTTTTTGGATGTTTTTTGGGAGGATTTCTCACTTGATCGTGCTCAAACTCTCAATGAAAGCACCATTGATGGATTATATGGATCCAAACATATAATTAAATGGAGAGATTGAGCTATGAAAGTGAAGAAGATGAATGAATAGTATAAATGTGTGTGAATATTGGTTCTAGGAATTAGGAACTAGGCCCAACTACATAAAAGACTAATTGACGAGCACTTTGTCACGGTGCGTCAAAATAAATCGATACTAACACTTATACGTAGTATAGGTGCAGTAGAGTTCGTATCCACAAGGAAAGGAATACTTTTCTTTTTAATTTAAGGAGTAAGTAAAGGGGGGATTTGGATTGACTGATTTAATTTAATTAAAAACTAAGATGAACGACTTATATGAGATTTAATTCAAAGATAAAAAGGACTTGGCATTGCTACTTTCCACTTGTTGATATATTTTAGTCGATCATTGTTATATCTATAACTTATTCCCTCTCGAATACTCAATCGGGGAGTATATCCACTTCATCGAGGGTAGTTATTAACAACGACCGTTCATTAATAACCTTTACTATTAATCAAATATAGAACAACGCCTTATACCGATTTAATAGTAGCATTTAATCTTTCTAACTCCTTGA